CACTACCACTACCACTACCACTACCACTACCATTACTACTACTACTACTACTACTACTACTACTATTACAACAACAACAACAACAACTACTACTACTACTACTACTACTACTACTGCCACTGCTGCACTGCTGCACTGCTACACTGCTACATTGCTACATTGCTACCGCTACAGCTACTGCAACTCCTGCTGCTGCTGCTGCTGCTGCTGCTGCTGCTGCCTCCTGCTCGACTGCGACACCACCAATGGCGTAACAGGCCAACCAAGCTAAGTGCTTCTTGCCTCATTCCGAACAGTCCACCATTGAGACGAAGACTTATTGACCTTGCTGATCGGCAAGGACTTCCTAAGGCCGACATCTTACGTCCAAACAGTTTAATTTCACTTCGTACTCCTGGCAGCCCTGGCAGCGCTTAAACGTCGAGGTCCCTCAGCCCCCGCGTAACCGTGAGCTCGTTCCTTCGCGCCTGCCTACATCACTTCGCCTGTCAGCTTGGACACCTTGCCTCGCTGCTCTTGGTTGTGGTCCTCATCGGCCTTGGTATGGCAGCACGTCATGCCCGGTGCTTAGGATTGGGAATCTTAGGGTCAGGGCTCTCAAGTGAGAGAATAGGAGTTGGTCGCGGTCAGTTTGAGGTCGCCTGGTTTACGGTGGAGCGGAGCGAAATGCTGCGGTATGTGACCTTCAAGGTGCGTTGCTGGGTTTTGAGAGCGTCGAGGAACAGGGGAAGCAGTGAACCTCCTTTGCCCTCTTGTTTCAGGTGCTGTTCCCACTTTACCTCCTTCGACAGCTGTGGGTCATCAACCTCAGCTTTGGACTAGCAGCTCGGGCGATTGAGAGTTCCTGCAGTTCATCTAAGCGATGAGATGTGCACCCCAAGCATGGACACCAGGGCTCTCATGCAGAAGCCTGTGCGGATGCATTGGGCCAGGTAAGCCTGCTGCCTGTGAGCCTTGCAGTTCACATCCTGTGGTTCTTCCTGCAACTTGCCTCAGAATGTTAGAAGATGTTCTCAATCGCAGGCAGGTGACAATGATTGGTTCAAGTTTTATGTCGTTCTTGTGGCTGGTGTCATCACTGTGCTGATAAGGAGCCAGCAGCTTTCTCGATTCACGCCTGAGGCAAGAGCCGTGAATGTTCTGCTAGCTATGTCAAGATGGACCAAGATGGACATATGTATGCACGTACGTACGTATGTATGTAGCTTGCATGTTCATACAAGCTTACATTGTATGCATGTATGCATGCAATCACGTATTCATGTACGTCTGTCTGTCCGTCTGTCTGTCTGCACTTGCGTACGTATGCAGCAAGGTATACGACATGCCAGAAAAACATAGCATACACCGACACATACCTGTGTCTAAATGTACCTGACGAATTCTCTGCGTATCTGTCTATCTATTCGCTCGTTCATGTTTTATCCGTTCTCAAGCCCTCTTAAAACTCCGTCAGACACCTCATGCACATGCCTACGTGGTTATAGTCGCAGCACAGGTACGCACACGGAAGCAATACATGGACAAGTCGAGAGTAGAGCGTAGATACACCGATGTTCCTACGCATGGTTGACACGATGGGTTCATCACGCAAGCGGGTGCCATTGCGGATAGTGTACGCAGAATATGTACCTATAGCAGGTTGTTCGTACATGAATCAACATAAATGTTGATGCAACATATTCGCATGAGTTCACATTCATATGTGCATGTGTGCACTTTCCGTATATGCAGACACTGGTGCACAGTTTGTCATGTTTCATGTACGGTGCACAGCGTATGCTGCGCAGGCATCCGAGGTGATGGAAAAAAGCGGACGGCCATATGCCACTCTTGTTGGCTGGGCCGTGCTCATGAGCCAAGGCCAGCAGTTTAGAGCGAGGCAGAGGGGGAAAGAGAAAGACAGAGATGTGCATGCAGAGGAAAGCACTTCATTCCAGCTCTGTTCAGGAGAGAACATGGCCTTCACCTACCCCTTGATTGCCGAGGTCTCTGGTGCTAGTATTTGGCATCATGCAACTGTTGCGGATCCTTCTGATTGGTGCAGGCTTCCATCCCGGATGGTCTGGCAGTTGCTGTGATGTGGGACTTGGGTGCCAACGTCTGGCTCCTCGGTGAAGACGCTTCTCCTTCTGCAAGGGTATGTTGCCGACCCATTTTGATTGGGTGGAATTGGCTTTCAGTGCTCGAGCTGGCTTCAATCACTCGGCGGAGCCCCCAAAGGATCCAAAGGATGTATGGCTCGACCAACTAAACGGTTTGCCAGTCTCGAATATGCACAACTTGGACTTTTCTCGGTTCAGCTTGGTGTTGCCAGGTGCAGCTTGCAAGTGGCTCGAATAGATTGCTCGTGCCACCCTTCAAGACACGTCGCCGTGGATGCCTCGTCCCTGTGTCGTGCGCGTATGCTGTGAGATTCACGGAAAATTCCGGGTTTGCACGTAACGGAGACATGTGGTTTCAGTTGCTGAGGTGACACTAGCACCGTCTTTGTTTCACAGCCCATGCCACATTCTAACCAAGCCATTTGGAAAATTCACAAAGCATATGTCGGCATCACGTTCATGCTTCTCATCCAGCATCCCTGCCTCCCGACAGAAGGGAGGCTCAACCCATGGAGAACATCCAAGAACAAGACAGGCCGTATCCCACAAAGTTGGCAAGTGGGAACAACGCTGAAGTCTTGTTCGCTAGGTCGCCAGGTGTTACCCTGACAGGCAAGCCGCGGGGTTCGGACTGAGATATGATATAGTAGCTCTGCAGTCGAAGTCTTTATGTCTTCAGATGGTGTTCTCCTTCACCGCATCTGGCTGCACCCGTACTGTTCTGAGGTTATGTCAGGGTCTTCTCTGGGGCGTGGCGGCAATTTACTCACCTCAGGTTCAGGCCAGGGCTGCTATTGGCCAGGTTGCCATTGGCATGGTGCATGTGCATGGGATCTGCCCCGGAGGCTTCTGCTTATGCGCCGATTGAAGAGCCCGGTGCCGTCCTGTTCTTGCATTTGCATCGAAGCATTCGCAGCCGGCTGGTCGGTCTACTGTTCATTGTTCTAACGCGAACTTGGGAGATGTGCGACGTGCTGTATGCAGGTCACTGCTTGTACATAAGCCTGCAAGTCTGCGATGTGAGATTGTTGTGAGGTGACGGCGAAGATCTGCCAGACATGTTTCTGGATGATCCGCCGCTCGACCGAGCACGAAAAGGCAGAATATCTCGTATATCTAGAAGACTGGAGCGGCTCGGGGCCCCCGTCCCTTGGCGCCCGCCTCCCGGCTCCGTACACCGCCCGTGTCTGCCTCAGGAAAATTCGGAGGCAGGGCTTTTTCTCGGGCCTGCCAGCCGGAGCGAAGGCCTGAAGATATCTGAAGTCTGTCGTTGCACTGTTTGCCTTGAGCTGCGAGTGGGTGCAGGACATGGCAATGCAAGCCGTGATCAGCTCCGTTCTTCTCCGTGCATGCCTTGTGGGCATCGGCTCCTTAGCTCATCTCAGATTTGGGCAGAGCGTGCAGAGCGTCCGCTTCCACCAGCCTTCCATTTTGTCAGGCTTGCATCTCATCCAACTACCACTTCCGGGGCCACATGGCTGGAATCAGGCAATCTTCGAAGCATGGAAGCTAGCTGCCTCGGTCTTTCGAGGATTTTGGATGACGGACTGCGCTATGTTGGAAGCCTCTGCAAGGCGACGCTGAGACCAGCAAGCATGTAACTTGTACAGCTATCCATGGTCGAAGCACCGAGATTTTGCACCCCACCTTGTAGCTGCAAATGTTGTACATCAGCTAGAAACTGCAGCCAATCTGGCACAACACGCACTTCTGCATATCGGCAGAGTGTATCATTGCAACAGCAGTCCACTTGACGTCAAGTGGCACGCGGCTTCTCGCTTGAGTGACTGTGCAACGTACTCTTCCAGCTAGTCCCGTGCTCACTTGCTCGTGGTACTTCTTTTTCCCTGTCTGGTCTTGGCGCGTCTTGTTGCCACCTTGTGTTCAAAGCGCGTCTCTGGCATCAGTGTGCAATCATGGGAAACAAGTAAGCCCTGTCTTACACTCCTCGCAGCTCCTAGCCTTGGGAATGACAGCCAGCATCCGATTAGGCAAGATCATCGTTGTATCGATTTTTATCATCACGGTCGCTGGTGTCTGGAGTTCGATACATTAATAGCCTTTCGACACGCTGCACTGCGAAGGTTTTGAGATGCCCCCATCTTTTTTGGCACAACATGTTCTGATGGCGTTGCACCGAAGTATGTGGTTTTGCTTGCTTGGTCCAGACTCCAGGACAGGTAAGTAGTGAGCCCTCTCGAATGTTTAGGTAATTGATGTGACGACAGCAGCAGCTCAGTATGTAGTGGAGGCATTTTTGTATGAGAAGGCCACCAGGCTTCGAGAATGTCCAGTCACAAGTCGTGCTGGAAGGTGATGCTATACTTTTTGGTGGGCTTGTACGCGGACTTCAACTTGTCTGCGAATGACTTTAAGCCCCTATCCTGACATGTGACACTCGTTGACATGAGCAGAGCAGCAGTTTGGCGTTCGCACATTCACGCGCACCCATTGCATCTGTGCTTTGTGTGGGTGTGCCTTACATAGACTTGTATACTTATTACATATATACACACACATATGTATCTATATATATATATATGTATATATATATATATACACATACATATATATATATATATACATATCATATATATATATATATATATATATATAGTGCAGCGTCGCCCGACCCCCTTCCCCCCACCCCATGGTATCACCCCCTACCCCCCCT